TCCTGCTGGACCAGTTTCATAAGAGATTAATTTGAAATCCAGATGTCAATTTACTCACTTTAAGTGAGGTCTGTATTTCCAATAGCCGGACCTTTTGAATCTTGTATCAAGAACACTGCCTTACTTTAGTCAAGGGACCTGGCAAATTAGTAATCAGTATTATTAGTAAATTAGGAATCAGAAGATTCCTTAGTGAGGAATGGAATTGGAGCAAAAAGAATTGAATCACAGTAGTAGTTTGTGAGTGATCACATTTGGGTCACAAATTCCTTTAAGAATTTGACGGAAAGTTTGATCCTTTCCTGAGGAAAAAACACCTGTATAATATTTGCAGACAGTGTCAGGGAGTGATGGAGCTCACTGGTTGACCCCTGTCTTTATTTCACTGAGGCTAAGCCACATCTTGATAGGCGATCCCTATTCCACTAGAGACTAATTGTACTTCTTGGCATAGCACTTCACAATTTTTGTCATATATGCATATACCTGAACTATCATTTACTTTTTTCTTTAAATTGACTCTTATTTAGATAAAAATTTTGAAAAATACCTTACTGCAATACCTAAAAAAGAACAGCATTTAACTGCCATAAATAGAAGACATTATAAAAAACATGAAACAATGTTACTAAATTTAAAATAATGAAATACAAGTAAAGCTAATCTTTTAGATTTTATATATATATGTATACAAATTAATCATTCTGTAGCTGAAATAAGTGTACCTCATTGAGGAGACAAGGATTTTATGACCAGTCAGCAGTAATGGGATATTCCAGTTGACGTTGCTTCAAGAAATGATTCTGTATTTTAGCTTTGATGATGAGCAGCAGCAACAGTGCCATTACACGTGAACCAAGCAGCAAAGGGCAAAGCTTTGAGCTCACCCCCGTTCTCCCATCTTCTCTGCAGCTTAGGCTTAAGGTGGTGCGCGGTGGCACCAGGTCAACTGAAACGTCTGTCCCTGTCCTCATGGCACCTGCATGTACCTGGGGAGAGAGGCATTAAACATAGGGATATAACAGGAAGAGGGTGCTCTGAGAGTGCAAAAGGGGATGCCTGGCCTAAGCTGGGCCTGGTGGAAGAAAAGGTCACGCCCCTCACACATGCATTCATCATAAACACTTACTGGGAGGTTACTGAGCGCTAGGTACTGGTGATGCAAAGACGAATAAGACTTGTAAGACACTATCTAGAAGCTCAGGATCTGGTGAGGGGAACAGACTCTCAAAAGTGATGATTATAATATAATATAGATGCCAGATATTGACAATGAGAGCGATCAGGTAATGACAGCATGGAAGGATAAGAAGGGCCCCTGCTGACTGCAAGCAGGGAAAAATGCTCCCTAGACAGTACTCATGTATTTCACTTGCTTTCCAGGCTTCTTGCCAGAAGTTATTCTTGAAGGTTTGAGCCTGGGTTATTTGCCTATAATTTATGCCCTTTATGTAAATGGGAGTACCATTATTATCTGCTAAATATTTACCCTAAGCAATAATAAATGCATGTCAAAGTCTGATTTTCAGAAGTTAAAAACATGACTCCTATGTGAATATAAGATGAACACAGGTCAAAGATTTTACTCATTAATTAATAAGATGATGAAGCAGATAAACAACAAAGTCCTACTGTGTAGCACAAAGAACTATATTCAATATCTTGTAATAAACCGTAATGGAAAAGAATATGAAAAAGAACATATATATATAACTGAGTCACTTTGCTGAACACCAGAAACTAACACAACATTGTAAATCAACTATACTTCAATTAAAAAGAAAAGATGATGAAGCAGGTTCAAAAATCACTGAGGAACTGGCCATTTGTGGGCATTTTTTTTTTGCAGTACGCAGGCCTCTCACCGCTGTGGCCTCTCCCGTTGCGGAGCAGGCTCAGTGGCCATGGCTCACGTGCCCAGCTGCTCCGCGGCATGTGGGATCTTCCCGGAACGGGGCACGAACCCGTGTCCCCTGCATCGGCAGGCAGACTCTCAACCACTAGCGCCACCAGGGAAGCCCTGTGGGCATTTTAATAAAGGTTTTTGCAGCAATGAAGACCCAACACAGGCAAAAATAAAATATATAAAAATAAATTAATTAAAAAAAAAGATTGCTAGGTTAGATACAAAACTGGTTAATGTCCTATAAAGCAAGAAACAGTAACTAACCATGAGCATTTTGTTTTTACCAGATAGAAATCATTTGCAGCTGTACTGGACATAAATCTATATATAAATTATAGGTCACTTCACAGAGTGAGCTCTTAATTAGTTAACAGCAAATTCAAACAATGCTACGATCTCCTAGGGCAGAGTCGACAAGCTTTTTCTGTAAAAGGCCAAGGTGATAAACATGTTAGGCTTTTCAGGGTACATAACATCTCTGTCACATATTCTTTTTTCTTTTTTGGTTTTTAGTCCTTTAAAAATGGGGGAAAACCCAACATTCTTAGCTTGAGGGCCGTACAAAAATCGGCCACGGACTGGATTTGGTTTCCTGGCCATAGCCTGCTGACCCTTGTCCTAGAAAATGAGAAAATCATTGGGTGGGCCTGTGAAATGGGGTTAGGCATGACTTTGAAAGGACATGCATTTATCTTCTTGGCCATATTTGTAAGTAAGTTTTGGATAATTTACAAATATGTAATCATTAAGACAAAGTTTGCCTTTGTACCACCTGAAATCATCTCAGTAACACCACTGGTGGGCAAAGCTTACTTTGGGAAACAGGATTCCTTGTACATCCCAGCGCGAAGAGTCTCCCTCCAGCAGTTCAGACTGAACAAATTCATAGCCTTCAGTTCATTGCTTCTCTGACAAGATTTGGGAACTGCCCAAGCCAACTTGGAGGAGATAAATGGGGGGACCTGAGATTACCATCCCCTTGCAGCAATGTGTTAACAAATCATTCTGGCAATTTTTTTAGATTTTTAAAATGTCACCTTTTTTCCATTCATTTATCTGTTCCTTGTTTCAGGAAGTCTTAAGTAGCACTTATCATAGGCTAGGTACTGTGCTAGGTAACTGCTTCCTTAGGGAGTCATGCTGGTGACTTTACTGGCTCCCAATGCTTAGTCTAGCTGTGGAGATAATGAAACAAGCGATTGCACTAAAGTGAAGTGTCACGATAAAATGACTAGACACTCCCAGATTGTGGGATTACAGTGTTGGGGGCTTTGTCACCCTCCATGCACTAAACACATTTTTTTAATGTAATATTTATTTTGTTAATCATAATAAACACACTTTTAATGTTTTGTTTTACTGGTTACAAGGAACAGTGAATTAGGAACTATAGAGGCAAAGCTAGCATTATATTACCTAGTTTGGTGTCTCTTTCACTGAGTTACAAGGTTCTGACTCTTCCACTCCTTGATTTTGTTCCCAGTCCACATTTCTCAGGCAAAAATAACAACTAAAATAAGGATAAAAGTTTATTTCTCTCTCAAGTAAAAGAAGTCCAAAGTTGGGCAGTTAAGGGCTATTAATGTGATTCCACAAAGTCTTTAAGCAACCTGGGATCCTACTGTTTCAATGTTCCATTATCCCTAGAGTATGACCCTCATCCTCAAGGTTTAATATGGCTGCTAACATTCCAGCCATCACATCAACATTCCAGGGAGCAGGATGGTAAAAAGGACAAAGAAAGGTGGGACACTCTTCTCTATCAGGCAACTTCCCAGAGGTTGCCCACAAAACTTCCATTTATATGTCTTTGGACAAAATTAAGATACATGGCCACATCTAGCTGCAAAGAAGGATAAGGAATATTGTCTTTAGCCAGGGATCAGCATGCCTAGCTAAAAGTTCTTAATTCTAAAGAAGAAAAGGAAAATGGATTTGGGGAGGCAAATAGCAATCCCTACCATGATGTGAAACAGTACCCTCAAAATTTTGGGTGATGCCTCTCCTATGCTTAACCTTACCACCAATTTAATCCAAATCTCATGATGTAGGGTGAGAGTACTGGGAAGATTTTCTGAACAGTGTATTACTTAAGAATATTTTAGTTGCAAGTGTCAGAAAACCAAATTCAAACCAGTGTAAAAGAATGGTTCCTATATTCCAAAATCCTGACATCTCAGCTTTGGCCATGGCTTGATTC